GATAAGAGAAGATCAATGTGAAATTGAGGTAAAGTTGAGGGACGAAAAGTTTAATTTTCCCATTAATTAATCTAGCCAGCTTAAGTTTCGTGGTTAGGTGGTCAGCTAACACCAAATATATATGAATCAACAAATTGATGCTGAATTAAAAAGAAAAGTGAAAACTACAGTTTTTGTCCCTCAAGTTTACATTGATTTCACATTTGGTCCCTCGTGTTCACAAAAAACACATTTGGTCTCTCATGCTTCAGAAATTCAACATCAAATTTACATTAGTACTAAACGAAATCAGGCCTGTGCCCACAACTGTCTTAACTGACGGACTAATGGTAAATTGACGAAAATGACCGAAAGTGCTTAATTATTGAAACATGAGGGACCAAATGTGTTTTCTGTAAACATGGGGACCACATGTGAAATCAATGCAAATTTAATGGATGAAACAAAAAATACTTAGCTGTATATGAGTATGATATAGTAATTTGCAACTACCGGAAACAAGTAAACGTGTGATTATCATTACCTTTAAGAAGAATTGAGATTTATAAATATAATATAAATCAGTAAACAAAGTTGATCACATAAAAAAGTTATATATAAAGAACTCACCAGATATTAATTTTCCAGTCAAAGAACATTCCGAAAAATTTGTGTCGAGACAACTAGCCATATGAACTTAACCCCGCTTAGCTGTCATTGAAGAGGTGGAATATTTTCCAATATTTTCTCCATAAGATACGATACGCTGAAAAAATGAAAAAATAGAATGCACAGTAAATAGATGTCCTAATTTTCCTTAGAAAATCATCACTCTACAATATGGCATGACTGAATTCTGCAGTTGATTATATATATACATGCTCTATTTCAAACTGGAAATGCATTATTACGACGGAAAATCGAATATTGATTGACCTTTGACCTGCTAGTGAGAGAGCTTTAACAATCTAGCATAATCTTCATTAAATGGAAAAACTCAAACAAGATTGATCAATACCAAATATAAAATATTTGTCGTTAATAAAAAGTTTGTGCACCACCTGATTCTGTGATTCATATCCAAATATCGTATATAAATAAATATAGGGTAAATAGCACTTCACCTCCCTACGGTTACAAGCTTTTGCAGATGACCATTTTGTGCTCGTAATATCAGACCATAACCCCCTTGTGGGTTTATGGGCGGTAGCTTCCTTGCAGATGACCCCTTGTGCTCGTAATATCAGCACATAACGACGGAAAAACTAACGGAAACTACCCTCATCAACCACAAGGGGGTTATGTGTTGATATTACAAGTACAAGAGGGTCATCTGCAAAAGCTTGTAACAACAAGGGGTTAAATGCTATTTACCCATAAATAAATAGAGCGAAATGCCTCTGTCCCACATCGACTACTCATTGAAATATTATGTTGTTTATTAAGCTCAAACCAGCTCGATAGGGCAAGGTAGTTGGGCGAGGCGTCTTCCACGTGAGTTAATTCGGCGACTTACCCAACTACCTTTTTGAGAAAATGACAAAAAAACAATACTTATTTACAATAAAGGTCTATTTTAATAATTCAGACCAATTAGGGATAAATAATTTGCTCCGGTTTCCATCATAAATTGTTTCGTATTTTTTGCAATTATAACTTTTAGATTCATATAATCAGCAATAATTTTTCCACAATAATTATGCCATCAATGAAATGGAATGGGATGGATATAGAATGTCAATTACATGAAAAAAATCGGTTACAATTTAACATAAATCATATGTAAGCAATCTTTTTGCATCAACGATACAGAACATTGAATACTCTGGTTTCTATCGATGATAACGAACTTACTTTAGCAGAGTAGCAAAATGTTAAAGATCTAGATGTTATTCTCCAGAATCTCCTCAAATTTATATAGTTTCCTAGTAATACTAACACAAGATATATATGAATTAACAAATTTATGCCGAATTAAAAAAACATTCCTAGCGAATACAATTAGATCGCAAAGCATTACTACCTGTGTATACATATTATTTGTGTAACCACTGGAAACAAGTAAACATGTACTACGATAACTAATTATCATTACCTAATGAAGATTGATCAAATAAAGCAAATATTCATAATATATATATATATATATATATATATATATATATATATATATATATATATATATATATATATATATATATATGAAGCTAAGAACTCACCGGATATTAATTTTCCAGTCAGTCGAACATTGTGACTAGCTATGACCAATCAAAGAATATTACGAAGCACTCGTATGGATCTTCAGCCAGAAGAGCGAGCTTAACTCTGCACATACGTCAACAAGTAGGGAAGTTTTTCCGAAAAAATCTTTCCACATCAATTCTTCCAATATTTTATCCATAAGATCTGAACCCTGAGTAAAATGCACAGAAAATAAATGCTTTAGTTTTTTTCTTACAGAAAAAGTGTTGCTTCAATCAAAGGATTTGAATACGATGCCTACATTTGGCTCTTTATGGTCCCACATCGACAATTCATTGAAACGTTTTACTGTTTAATTAAGCTCAAACCAGCACGAAAGGGACAGGTAGTTGGGCGAGACGTCTTACACGTCTGATTAATTTGGCGACTTACCCAACTACCTTTTTCTCCATTTTCCATCATAAATTGTTTAATATTACTTATTTATTGCCCTTTTCATTTGAATGGATGCTATCAGCATTCAGCAGTGATCTTTCAAAATACTAATTTGGTTAAATTACACCTACACCCCTGAGGTATGCTAAAATAACTTTAAGGTCCATGTGGTATTGTTAATTACAGCCACACCCCTGAAACAATTACCGAAAGCTAAGATTTCATGTTCTGGGGACCGATATGCACTGTATTTGTTTCCCGCGGGCCCGTTAATGCTACCATAGACGAAAATTTATAAATCTTACATAAAATAATATGGATTTAAGAAATGTTAGGAGAGCCATGCCACATCCTAGCTATATGTTATATCCACCACTGCCTGAAACTAATAGTCTGTTAAAACCCTAACGAAATAACTTATCCAGTGCATTATTCTGTTATGGTTTCTAACAATGTTTCAGGGGTGATTGTAGATACAGATTTATTCTACAAAATATCCTAAAATTTCTGTAGTATGACTAACCCCGGATATATATACAAATATGCATCGACAAATTTAGGTTGAATCAAAAAATTCATACTGAATACAATTAGACCAGAAAGCATTAGCATATAAATATGATGAGAGCAAACGTGTAATATGATTATGATTACCTAACGAAACCTACATACTTACGAAGAATTAAAATTCATAAATATAATAAAAATCAGTAAATAAAATTGATCAAATAAAGCAATTACAATTAGACCAGTCGGTGGAATATTTTCACTAGCTATGTTCGATCAATGAACATTCCAAAGCATTATTTCGTATTATGACACGGAAAAAATCATCGTCGTTAAAAATAGTTTGTGCACCATCACCCGAGTCTGCGATTCATGTACAAATACGGCATATAAATAATAAATAAAATGAGACGCATTTGTCCCACATCGACCACTAATAGAAACGCTATGCCGTTTAATAATCTCAAACCAGTTCGAAAGGGCAAGGTAGTTGGGCGAGGCGTCTTCCACGTTGTTCTACCTCATTGGGCGACTTACCCAACTACCTTTTTGAGTAAATTACAAAAACGGGCCCATCTTAATAATTCATAGCAATAAGGGTGTAGATTTTCCTCCGGTTTCCATCATAAATTATCTCATATTCTTAATACTACACTTTTGAATTGGAATGTATAATATTACTTTTTGTATTCATAGGGTCAGAGAAATGGCATTTGTCAATTACAGAAAGGGTAAATTACGGTCACCCCCTGAGTTGGTCAAATTACGAAAAAAAATAAAAAAAATCTCATGTTTGGATAATTATAATAACCCCTCAATTATGAATATTCTTCCACGTCCACCCTTATGGTGTCAAATTCAACAGAATCTTCTCCGTGGAATGTTCCATAGTTTGTACTCGTTTTGTACAAAATGCAGATTCTGATGCACCACAATCTGATATTTACAAGCCAAGAGACAAATCTTATGAATCATCTTGTTTCAAAATATGGAGCTCGAATGGGGTAAACGGGTACAAACTAGAGAATATTCCACAAGATTCCACTAAATTTGACACGGCATGGATGGACATGTAAGAAGATTTATAATTGAGGAGTGATTGTAATTACCCAAACATGAGGGATTTTCCCGTAGTTTAACCTTATCTCAGGGCGTGGCCAAAATCAATTACGAAAGGCATTTATAACCTAATGAAAACTATATATGTATAAAAAAAAACGAAGAACCGAGATTCGTAAACATAATAAGAAACAATAAAATAAAATTGTATCAAATCAAGCAAGTATTTTATAAGAAGTCACCATATAAAATATTTTCAGAAGTCGGGAAAAAAAAAAATTGTTCAAGAAATTCCACATCTAATTCTTATATACCATCGAATCAGATGCATACGAATAATTTGTTTTAATTATTCATATAGGAATTGGCAGTAGGAAGAACAATCCTGTAAATTATTCAAATTATTACATTTCATTTCAAATCATATTCGAATCAACAACTAGATATAATTAAGGCAAATATTGCGAGCCCTGAGAAAATAGAAATTAAACTGACGTACCGTGTAAAATTTCAGGCGGCGGCGCGTGGCTGTTGGTGGAGTCAAGTGAGCGGAGAAGCTTGGTGGCGGAAAACAAAGGTGAAGAAAAAGGCTGAGAAGCTGCTTCTTTTCGATTTGAAAAGTGCTTACAAGGGGAAATTGTTATCTGTGCCGTATCTTATGATGTTTGCAGAAAATCTTTCCAAAATAGAATTTATTTGCAATTTTGCCCCTACAATTTATGTTTATTACCGAATCCATATCATACTTTCACAAAAATCTGATAACACCCTAAATAGTATATTTCTATAAAATTAAATATATTCTTACACCACATCATTTTGCCACGTTCCAAAATACATCGTCAAAGGGGTGGCCGTAATTACATTAAAATTAGTTTAAAAAATTTATTAAAATTTGGCTTATCCCATTTTATTGATTTAGAGTAAATTACCGCCATCCATGAGATAAGGTTAAATTTAGAAAAAACATCCTTATGTTTGAGTAATTACAACCAGATCCTCAACTATGAATCTTTTTACACGTTTACCCTTGCGGTGTCAAAATTCGTAGAATATTCTAGATTATGTGGAATATTCTTCAGTTTGTAGCTATTTCACCCTATTCGAGCTCCGAATTTGAAACAAGATGATCATAAAAGGTGTCTTTTGGCTTGTAACTATTAGATTGTGGTGCAAAAGAAACTGTATTTTTGCTACAAAACGAATACAAACTAGAGAACATTCCATATAGAATCTAGAAAATTATGTTGGATTTGACGGTATAAAGATGGATGTGTAAGGTGATTCATAGTTGAAGAGTTGGTTGTAATTATCCAAATATAAGATTTTTTTTTTCGTAATTTAACATTATATCATACCGTGGCCGTAATTTACCTTTGAATTTATGATGCAAGACTATTATCAATATTGGGTTTTATATAAAATATTCATGTACCCATATATGCATTTGGATCGAGAGATTTCAATTTCAGGCTCAAAATTATGGAAGGACTTAAAATTATTTTAAATAGGAAATATTTGAAATCCACAACAATGGCTAAAAGAATAAATAAATCAAAAAATCAAAAATTCGGAAATTTGAATTTTAGAAATTATTCCTAGATCTAGAACTAAAACCGTGGACATAAATAAGGGTTTGAAAAACATGAATTTGAAAACCAACTCAATTTGAAAGGAAACGAAGTCATGATCGATATTCATAAGCTCTGCTTGTGACGTGCGTCAGATTTCAGCAATACAACATCGTTCATTCTCTCAAAAGTCGGTTCGTTTGAGAAAGTTTTGGAAACTTAATATCAATTCGTAGAAAAATCATACTAAAATTATGTAAATATTCTTAAAAATACGAGTATACTAGAATCGGGCTTCAACCCATTTTTTTCATATTTGGTACATTTTTTATTTTATCGATATATAACTGTATTTTTTAGCTTAATTAGTTATAATTTTTTGATTTTATTATGAATTTATGATTTTTCAAATTAGAAATAGTTATATACTAATAATTATACTTTCATAACTTTAAGCATTAACCCAATTTTCACCGGGATACATATAATATTAAAATATAACCAACACATTAATTAATTACGCATGCATGCATGCATGTTGCTCATGCACCGACAACATGCCGCGCCGGCGGCGGTGACTTCTTCCTCCCCCAGGGCTTCCACCACGGCCTCTTCGGCGGCTTGCTCCCCGGTGCGGGCGGCGGCTTCTTCCTTCCCCAGGGCTTCCACCACGGCGGCCTGCTTCCCGGTGGCGGCTTGATCCTCGGCGGCGACTTCTTCCACGGCCACCTAAAAACCGGCTTATGCGGTTTTCCGTGACCGATTGGCGGCGCCGGCACTGACAAGTCATCGCCTCCTTCGGAACGCGGAGGCGTTTCCAGCAGCTTCCTCGAGCTGTTCATGATTTGCTCCGCAACGAGCGCCGCCGCCGTCGTCTCCTCCTCCTCCTCGTATGGGCGGAGATCGGCCGCCGGACATGGAGCGGCGAAAGCGGTTACTCCGAAGAGAAGTATCAGAAAAAGTGTAGCTGTTTTTTTTCCTTTCTGCCAAACCATATTGATTTTTGATTGATTTTTTGATGGAGAGAGGAAAGGAATTTTGGTAGGGTTTTATAGTTGACGATGGCATTAATGCAATTTTGCTTATTGTATTGCATGAAAATTGCATTAAATATTCAATGCTTTATTGATCTGAGATGCTGCCACGTAGCGCTCGCTTTTTGAGGATTAATTGTGTTGGTAAACCGTAATTAATTAATTAATTCGTGATGAGTATATTAAAGTTGGGTTAATAATCATAATTAAGGAGTACTAAACAATGCTACTTGACTTGAGATTATCTGGCTGTGTAACTCACACGGGATCTATGACCTTTTTTTTACGATTTTATGAAAGAATTACACAAAAGCCCTTTGCTATTGACTAATTCTACAAGAAATTTTGGTTTTAGTGACGATTTTGTATGGTCGCTAAAAGTTAGAAAATGGTAGTTAAAACTTCTAGCGACCAATTTAAGCTTGGTCACCGGTGGTCATAACAGGGTAGCTACTAAAAGTACTCAGTGACAAGAAAATTAATTGGACGCTAAAAGATGAGATTTAGCGGCGAACTAATAATAGTCACTAAAAATATAATTATTAACGATCAGTTTTTGACTCGCTAATGTAAATTTTATGGTGGCAATAGTATTAACATGGTTGCCATAGCAACATATATAGTGGCCACTGGCCATATAATTTTGGTCGCTAAATGATATGTACGTATAGTGACCATATTTTATTGTTGCTATAGGATATATATTTGGCTATCACATTTTTCTGTTGCTACATAATATACATATATATAGTGACGGTATATGTTGGTTGATAAATAATATATGTTGGTTGCTAAAATATATACATATAGTGACCATATTATTGGTTGCAATAGTTTTTACATGGTTTCGATAATTATTAAATTTATTGACCAATTCAGACTAATAATTAATTGGTTTCATTGATCATTAATGTTTATTTGCAACAGTTGCTGTAAAAAAAAAAATTAAAATAAAATTAAAGATTGCAAATTTACATATTATCAATCAAATGTGAATATTATAATTTCAATCTATCATACTCAATACAATAATAAATCAATCATTCCAAATAATAAGAAAGATTACTATATTTATTTCATAATAAATTCCACTTCATAAATTGTTAAGCGACAACAAATATGACTTCCACGATAACGTTCTTTCACTTCATCAAACAGTCCAACCTAAAAAAGGGAAAAAAAAATTCAAATAGAAAATAAGAAATCATATGATAGAATCAATTTCAATCATTTGTCACTTAGTAGCACTCATAATTAAATAATGTATCTGTGCTCTTGCATAAGTAGCTACTTACCTCGTCCAGTCCATGTGTTTAATGTGATGCATTGCCTGAGAATTATTAGTTAGGACGGAAATTGTAATTCATTTGTTCTACTTCATATAATAATTGAAGAAGCTTAAAAAAATAATTAATACGAAATATTGCATGAAATGGATCAGAACTTTGATTTCAGAAAAATCACCTAGATCCCAATGCACAATATAGCTGAACTTGCTCCTCTCGACTCCCTTCATCAATTGACCACCAACCTAGTTACCTGATATAAAGAATTTATCCACAATCAGTAGAAGTAGAGAAATAATTTTGACAAATTTTATGGTTCATTTTTTTATAACGTACATCGGTATACCTGGATTGGATCCACACCTGGATCCACGACAAATAAATCTCGTATAATCGTGATCAATAGCCGGTAAGCTAATACTACTTTCTATGTCAGCTCCATCTGAAGTAAGAATGTTGATTTGTTCAAATTTATGCATTAATAAAAGAGATCAATACATTACCAAATACTAACTCAATATCGTCCAACCAATAAATTTACTTAACATACCCTCATATGATGTTATGTCTAATTTTGATCAAAATACTGTAAACTTGTTGCTCAATGTGCATAAGACAAATTTCAAATAAATAATGGCATAAATAGATGCTAAATATTAAACTTATCCATAAAATGTACAGATAAGCTTAGCATAATTAAATGTTCTTTATAAATATCATATCGGCCGAAATTGAGTCTTCCTTTGTTCTCTGGTATCTCATCACCAAATATGCAATCAAAGTACATGATATTCAGTATATCTGGATCCACGATAAATAAATCTCGTATAAACGTGAGCAACACCCGATAATGTAATATTATTTTTTGTATCAACTCCATCCGAAATAAGAGTATTGATTTGTTTAAATTTATACATGTCAAACAAAAAGCCAGCTTCTTGCAATAATAAAAGAGAAAACAAAAATTGAACTGAATATATTAAGAAAAAAATGTAACGATGAGATCAACACATTACCAAATATTGGCTCAATATCGTCCAACCAAGAAATTTACTTAACATACCCTCATATGATGTTATGTATAATTCCTGCACATCATAGCAAATCATATTTTCTCCTATTAAACAAGAATAAACATATTACATGGAAAAAAATAAAAATAAATAAATAACACTCTTGAACCTAAATATATGGTACCAAAGAACAAAATTCAATACATTGGACCGACCTTTTTGTGTAGAAGTTTCTTCCAATTAAAATCAATTTTCACGTTCAGTTCCCACCTGTAATATTTTTTGCGTATTACTTGATCAAAATAAAACGCGTCACATAAATTAGGTAAATAACTTGAAGAAATAACTAACAAAGTCTTCTCACCTCGAGTTAGCACCAAAAGCAGCACCATAGACCAAAAATTTCTTAGGTACACAACAACGAATGACACACCTGAAGTAAGAATCCATTAGTTTCTTAAGCTTCATTTTCAATCACATTACTTTAAACTTGTTTCTCAATGTGCATAAGACAAATTTCAAATAACTAATGACACAGATTGATGCTAACAATGGATATTAAACTAGAAGCCAGAGTTACTTGTTGTCACATTTTCTTCCAAAAATTGTAGCAGGCCGTACGCTTATCCAAATTGGGAAAATAATATACCAAATAAAAGTTCACAACTTTATCTACAATTTTGATGAAGATACCAACCCCAAATTACGAAGATAACACAACAATAACAACCCGAAGAGATGAATACACAAAACTGCCAGAATTGTTTTGGACAAACTTGTTTGCTGTCACAGCTTCTTTGAAAAATCATAACAATTTGTAGAGTTATCCAAATTGATCAAATAATATACCAAATCAAACCTGACAACTCAATATACAAAACTTCAGAAGACACATAACCTAAATTATTACTCCAACATAACAAAAACAGCTCCGTAAGATGATTAGGCAAAACTGCCCTGTTTATTGACAGATTCACTGTCGTCTGATTCCGACCCCTAAAAGGCTATAACACGTGCTCGAATTGGAAAAAATTAAACACTAACTCATAGTTTTCGATAGGGCTGAAAGTCGGAAGGATCGGATCGGAATTAGCCTTTTCGGAATATTTCCAAAAAAATTCGGAAGTACAAAATCAATTCCAATTCCAATTCCAAAATTTTCGGAATCTAAAAATTCATTCCAATTCCAAAAGGCCCGGAAATTTCGGAATTTCGGAAATTTTTCGGAAATGACATAAGTATTAAAATTTCAAAACTTCGCTGAAAATTTCATAATTTGCTAAAAATAAAAACATCCACGTCGATAAAAATAACTACCAAATTTCAATTCAAAAAATAAATAAAAATAAACGACATCATAATATCCAATAAAACTTCTAGCAAAAATTAAATAAACTCTTTGGCTTTGCACAAAAAATTATAAACGTAAAACTAGGGTTTTACATAAAATAAACTAGGGCTTTTTTAGGTGACATGGCCCATAAAGAATAAATACAACTAAATAATGTATAATAAGTATAATATATATATATATATATATATATTACTCAAAGATGTATTTTTTGGAAAAAAATCGGTTTTTTTTCGAAAAAAAATCGGAATTTTTTCGGAATTAATTTCAGAAATAATCGGATCGGAAATCGGAAATTCCAATTGTTTTTTATATAATTCCAATTCCAATCCAAAAAAATCGGAAAAAATCGGAAATCGGAATTTCGGAAATCGGAATGAAAAAAGTTGTTCCAAAATCGGAACTTTTCGGATCGGAACCGGCGGAAATCGGAATTTCCGTTCCAACTTGCACCCCTAGTTTTCGAGGTCCTCTACGAGTTTTGAGAAGGAATTATTCCTAAATTCACACTCCAAACCCTTCTATTTTGGCTCCGAAAAGGTGCGGTAGCAGATTTTATTTCTCTTAGGGTGAATTCCACACCAAATTTCGGCGACCACCGCCGAATAAAACCGCCGAGCACCACCATCAATGGGAAGCTAACTTCTCGAGGTTTGTAACGTCCACCGTTAAGACCTCCGTTCATTTAATTCTTTGAAGAGCCAAAATTTGAACTCCAGATTACAGCCAACATCGGCGACCTCCACCGGAAATCACCAACGCCGGTGTACATCTGAACTCACAATTATTCCAACGGTGGGTCCCAGGGTTCGCCGGAACGGTCGGAACGGGAACGGCGCCCTCCGTTCCGGAATCCCTAACCAATCCGATTTTTACACCGTGACGCGTCCGAACACCGAGATAACGGCGGAACGGGCGAGACGGAACCATCGAACGGCCGTGTTGCAGCTGAAACAGATTGGAACGGCGGAACGGTAGAAAAAAGATGAGAGAAAAATCTCATAAAAAAAATAAAAAAATAAATAAAAAAAGAAAAACGAAAAAAAGAAGACAGAGAGGCTGGCCTAGTCGTGGTCTGATATGGACTGAGTCAAAAAAAAATTTAAGTTTCCAAAATTTGCAATCTAGTCCTTATGGCTTTTTATTTCTCTTAAAGTAAACAGATAATTTCATAACTTACAATTTCACCCCCTATTTTTACTTCTCAAGGTATAAAGAATTGTTCTAAAATTAAGATTAGAGTTTTAATGACAACATGTATAGTATTCTACTATAATATTAATATTAAAACTTATTTGACATTAATTATATTTTTTTGCATTTTTATTATAATTTGACGGTTCCGATCGTGACGCGACCGCGATGCAGCCGCGACATTACAATGGAACTTGAACGGCGTTATCCGCGACAGCGGACCACGATGTTCCGGCGAACCATGGTGGGTGCTGATTGATGAGATTTATTCTCGAAGGTCTCCAAACTATTATTTTCAACCTAAATCTGAAATTATCTTTTCAAACCCCCAATTATTTTCCTATATTCATATCTTCCGAATCCCCTTTATTGAATTCGAAAATTTTCTGATAGGTGTAGGAAGAAGGGCATGGAGAAATTGGGTGAAATAGATGAATACTTTTGGGGTAAACAAAAGAGGTAAGACAAGAGGGATTTTGGTGCAGTAGAATGAAGAAATTAAGAGATAACTCTTTCTTGATTATCAGTAATATAAGGCGAGAATTGGTAGAGAGAAAGAGAGAGTAAGCGAGAGATTGAACATAGTAATAATTTGGGATGAAAGAAATGTGTGTAACGAAAGAATGAGAATTGGTTGTGCTTTTCCATTATTTGCATATTTCCCCTCCATCTTTCCTTATTTCTTTTCTTTTCTTTCCTTGATTTATTTAAAAATTAAATTACTAACCAAATCGATTAGATTTTCATAAGTAGTTTCATACCAACCAAATTAAAGTGGTTAGTAGCAACTCAATTAGATGGTTGTTAATAATTAAATTAAAGACTTGTAGCAACTGTAAAAAAAATTGATGTTAAATTGGTCACTATTGACACTAAGTTATAGTGACCATAAAAATTGTCGCTACAAACTTTAACTTTAGTTGCTACAAGATATATAACTATTAGTGACCACTTATAGCTACCAAATGTTCGCCGGTCGCAAAAGGATTTGACCCTTCCGACTTTTGCTACCAAATTACTTTTGGTTACTAAATGTGAATATTCAGTGACCATTTAGTTATGGTCGCTGAGAATTTGGTCACTAAAACTAGTTTTTCTTGTAGTATAAGTTGAAAAGAAAAAAAACAAAGAAAAGGAAAAGGAAAAGGAAAAGCCCTTGCACTTGTACAAATTGCTCCTGCGTATAAAAAATAGGGTAAAACCCTACGAGGTAAAAGTTAAATTACGAAGAAAAAAAACTCTCATGTTCGGATAGTTATAACCACCCCTTAACTATGAATCTTCTTACACGTACACCTTTATGGTGTCAAATTCAATATAATCTTATATATTATGTGGAACGTTCTCTAGTTAATACTCGTTGTGTGCAAAAATGCAGTTTCTTATACATGCACTAGAATTTCATATTTACAAGTCAAGAGACACATCTTATGATCATCTTTTTTCAAAATGTGGAGCTCGAATGGGGTAAAATGAGTGCAAACTGGAGAATATTCTACATAAATGTAAAAGATTCCACTAAATTTGACATTGCATCGTGGACGTGTAAGAAGATTCATTGTTGAGGAGATGTTGTAATTACGCAAACAAGAGGAAGTTTTCGTAATTTGACCTTATCTTCGATATTTATCCTAAAAAATATTTTAAAATTTCCATATTGTATAAACATAAATCAAATATTATTAAATTAATAATTAGCTAGCTCAACTTTATAGAAATACAACACATATATGTATTATGTCAATTGTTGAAGGATAACTAATACTAAAAAAAAAAGACATATATATTAAAAATTACATAATTTTTTAAAGTGTTAAATACATTCTGCACCCCTAAAGTATAGCATATGTAATACTTACTCCCTTAAAGTATTATTTGTTACACTTACCCTATTTTATATTTTAAAATTTAAAACATAATAAACATAACAATCTAATAATTATTGGATCATATAAAATTGAAAAATAATTAAAATTAAATTATTGGAAAAGAATTAAAAAGTTATATATATATTGTATAATAATGAATGAAAATATATTTTAAGAAATTAAGCAACTAAAAAAAGTTAAATACTTAAGATTACTATTAGTTATTAGTTATGCATTGATTTCCTAAAGTTTATCAATATAAATATATTCGATTAGTTGGTCCAACAGTAATTAGATGTTATTTATTATATATGTAGCCAACGCAAGATAATATTTTTAAATTTTAAAATATTACCTTTTCAACATATATTTTTAGTTGTATAATTGAATTATAATTTTATTTATTCCGTTCAATCAAGGAGAAAATTTTAAGGTATTAGAATTTGAAAGACAAATTAACTTGTGCTGAAGGAGGTAAGTGTTACAAATGATACTTTAAGGTGGTAAGTGTTAGATAGAGTATACTTTAGGGGTGTAAATTGTATTTCACTATTTTTTAAATTAATGACAAATTGAAAAAAGAAAGAACATATATCCAAAAAGTTAAACTATAATATTATTTTATTGTTGGTCCAAAACCTGAAATTCAACCCAATTAGTTAATTTATGTCTATTTATTCTAATTAAACCTAACTATACTACTTTATTTGTAGTTTAATTAATTGAAGTATTAAAAATTCATACAAATAGTTTAATTAGTCGCAAAGAGCCTCTCGAACCCTAAGACCGGCCATGAACTGCATATTAAAATTATGCTATTATCATTATATATGTACCATTTTTGTTATATCAATTTAATGAACAAATAAAAAAATAGGGGGATAATTTATTTAATTAATTTATTTTATAAGTCTTTATAATATTGTATGTACACAAATCAATTATGTTATTAACCAACCAGAAATATATAAATATAAATTCCACCTAATTAAATAATGTGGCCATTTTATATATAACTCAACCACATATATATTTTACATATATATATATATATAGGTGGCTCATGCATGCAGCGGCGGCGGCGGCGACTTCTTTCTCCCCCAAGGCTTCCACCACGGCCTCTTTGGTGGCTTGCTCCCCGGTGCCGGCGGCGGCTTCTTCCTCCCCCAGGGCTTCCACCACGGCCTCTTCGGCGGCTTGCTCCCCGGTGCGGGCGGCGGCTTCTTCCTTCCCCATGGCTTCCACCACGGCGGCCTGCTTCCCGGTGGCGCCTTGATCCTCGGCGGCGACTTCTTCCACGGCCACCTAAAAATCGGCTTATGCGGTTTTCCGTGACCGATTGGCGGCGCCGGCACTGACAAGTCATCGCCTCCTTCGGAACCCGGAGGCGTTTCCAGCAGCTTCCTCGAGCTGCTCATGATTTGCTCCGCCGCGAGCGCCGCCGCCGTCGTCTCCTCCTCCTCCTCGTATGGGCGGAGATCGGCCGCCGGACATGGAGCTGCGAAAGCGGTTACTCCGAAGAGAAGTATGAGAAAAAGTGTAGCTGTTTTTTTCCCTTTCTGCCAAACCATATTGATTTTGATTGATTTTTTGATGGAGAGAGGAAAGGAATTCAGGTAGGGTTTTATAGTTGACGATGGCATTAATGCAATTTTGCTTATTGTATTCCATGAAAATTGCATTAAATATTTAAGGCTTTATTGATCTGAGATGCTGCCACGTAGCAGCTCGCTTTTAGAGGATTAATTGTGTTGGTAAACCATAATTGATTAATTAATTCCTGATAAGTATATTTAAGTTGGGTTAATAATCATAAATTCATAATTAAGGAGCACTAAACAATGCTACTTGACTTGAGATTATCTGGCTGTGTAACTCACACGGGATCTATGACCTTTTTTTTTACGATTTTCATTGAAAAATTACACAAAAGCCCTTTGCTATTGACTAATTTGAAAAGAAAAAAAAAAAGGAAAAGGAAAAGGAAAAGGAAAAAGAAAAGCCCCTGCACTTGTACAAATTGCTCCTGCATATAAAAAAAAAATAGGGTAAATTACGGCGAACCTCGTGAGGTAAAGTTAAATTATGAAGGAAAAAAAAGAAAACTCTCATGTTTGGGTAGTTATAAGTACTCATCAACTATGAATCTTCTTACACGTACATTATTATGGTGTCAAATTTAACATAATTTCATAGATTTCGTGGAATGTTCTCTAATTTGTACTCATTGTGTGCTCCACAATCTGATATTTACAAGCAAAAAAAAAAAAACGTTTTATGGTCATCTTTCTTCAAGTGTGGAGCTCGAAAGGAACTGGAGAATATTTCACATACTCTTGAACATTCCACTAAACTTAATAACGCATGGTGGACGTGCAAGAACATTCATAATTGAGGGGTTGCTGTAATTACCCAAACAAGAGGGGTTTGTGTAATTACCTAAACAAGAGGGGGTTTTGTAATATGACCTTATCTCAGAGGGTGGTCGTAATTTATCATAAAAAAACTTTTGTACATAAATCAAACATTATTAAATTAAGGGCAAATCTCATTTTCCCCCCTTGTACTTTCGCTCGTTATCACTTCACCCCATGCACTAGCATTGGTTTGCCCCATGCACTTGAAAAACTGTCTCAATGCATGTGGCCCTCGCTGTAACTTGTCAGACATTTGACCTTAACACCGTTTGGTCTAAGCTCTGAAATTACAACAATATCACCCTCCTCGTTTAAATAAGTATTTAAAAAAAAAATCAAAACAACGAGAAAGCATAGTCCACCACGGCAAGCACAATTTATTTTTATTTTTTAATTTTTTGTGTGTAATAATTTGAACTGAGAGGAGTGGTTTTTTTGTAATTTTCAGACCTTAGACCAAATGGTGTTAAGGTCAAAGGTCTGGAAACTAACAAAGGGCCACATTGAGATAATTTAAGTATAGGGGGCAAACTGATGCAATCGAGAGTAGAAGAGGGTAAAATGATATCGAGCCAAAGTAAAAGGGGAAAGTGAAATTTACCATTAAATTAATAACTAAGTAGGTCAACTTTATAAAAATACAACATTTATCCGTATTATGTCAATTTTTTAAGGATAAGCCATAGTACAAAAAACATAAAAAAAAATAAAAAATTAAAATTATATGATTTTTAAATAAATGAAAAATTGAAAAATTTATAGTTAAATTAATTGAACTATTCAAAATTCATACAAATATGTACATATTTATTTTATATTAAAAATTATAAAAGGCCTCCTTTTTTATTTTTGCAAAGTGCCTCTCGAACCCTAAGACCGGCTGAGTATGGTTCGGTTTTATTGGTAAACCGATCAACTTTCAAGCTGCTTCTTTTGATCGATAATTGTATTGTTGGGTCGATCGGTAATTTTAATCGACCCATATATAAATGGGTCGGTCGGTGGTTTTCAGTTTACTGAAATCCGTTTGTTGATATTATCGACCTACTGATTTTTTTAACAATTGTTTTTTATTATAAATATCTAATAGTAATTTTTATTTTTCTTTTAATGTTAAAATAATATATAAAAGACTCAAAAACTCAAAACACAAATTTATAAACCTCTCCCCATATTATTTCTATTTTATAATTCTTATTTCATATTCTTTATTATATATTTACTTATTGTAGAAGTTTAATTAAAAAAAACTCTTAATTTTAAAGTTACGATTTTTACAACATAAGTTTTCCCAAAATTTTGAATATCTTTTGAAAAAACTTTTAAAAATATCTTATTATTGTAAAAAGAAATAAATAAATAGATGGTCGATAATACCAATTAACTACGTCCATTGTTTATCCAACAAAGTTGATTGCCAAACATTATCCGACCCATAATAATCGGGTCGATAATGGTTTTTAATTTTCAGCATAATCGGATGGGCGGTCGGATAGGTAATTGGCCGATAATAACCTGACCCGATCCTTGTCCAACCCTACTATTATGTACCATTTTTTGTTGTATCAATTTAATGAACAAATTAAAAAATAGGGGGAGTCTTTATTTAATTAATATATTTTATAAGTCTTTAATTATAATACTGTATGTACACAAATCAATTATGTTCATTAACCAACCAGAAATAGATAAATAAATATAAACTCCACTTAATTAAATAATGTGGCCATTCTTATATATATAACAACCACATTTTTACACACACACACATATATATATATATATATATATATATATATATATATATATATAGGTGGCTCATGCATGCAGCGGCGGCGGCGGCGGTGGCGACTTCTTTCTCCCCCAAGGCTTCCACCACGGCCTCTTTGGTGGCTTGCTCCCCGGTGCCGGCGGTGGCTTCTTCCTTCCCCAGGGCTTCCACCACGGCCTCTTCGGTGGCTTGCTCCCCGGTGCCTGCGGCGGCTTCTTCCTTCCCCAGGGCTTCCACCACGGCGGCCTGCTTCCCGGTGGCGGCTTGATTCTCGGCGGCGACTTCTTCCACGGCCACCTAAAAACCGGCTTCTTCGGTGCTGGTGGCGGCACGTCCTGATCGTCCCCACCGGAATGCGGCGGCGACTGCAGCAGCTTCCTGGTGCTCATGATGATTTCCTCCGCCGCCGTGATCTCGTCGGCCTCATCCTCGTATGGGTGGACATGAGCCACCGCCGCCTGAGATGGGGCGGCGAAAGCGGTTGCTCCGAAGAGCAGTATGAGATAAACTGTAGCCATGTTTTTTCCTCTGTGCCAAACCATGATTGCTTGTGAGGGAAATGAAATGAATTCAGGTGGGATTTTATAGTTGACATTGGAATTAATGAAATTTTTCTTATTTTATTCGATGAAAATTGCATTAAATTTTTAGGGCTTTTGGAGATAGCCTACACTCCCATGAGATGCTGCCACGTGTAGTTCTTGCACTTTTTCAGCTTTATCATTTGGGCAAATTACGGCCATCCCTGGGTAATGGTTAAATTGCGAAAACCCACTACCAGAAAATTAGCTTTTAATAGCACTTAATTATAGCGATTTTACATTAAATGCTATAGTTGGTTTTAAAGTCTTGAATAATTAATAAAAGTAAAAAAACAAGCGCTATAGAATCGAGCATACGTATTTTTATTTCAACTGACCCACAAAATAAAAAAGACTTTAGTCTCCAATATATACCGACTCCTTTCTAACCATCGTCTTTACGAGGCTCGCCAGAACTCAATCTCTTCGGAATGGATTCGTCCGCAACTGAATCTTGCAAATTCTCTCTAAATTCATTCGTCGACGGTATCTCTCACTTTCGTTTCTCTTAGTTTCAAAATTTTGTCCTAATTTCACCTGTTTTTCCTTTTCTTGGCGAGCCCTAATTTCAGTGTTCTGCAAAGTTTTAAAATTGGTGACGCATATTAGGGAGATAGAAGCCGTTCTTACGCAGATTGATGTGGCATGTCGCATCCTCCTTCCGTAATCCGCCGGTCAGAAACTCCCCATTAATTTTGTAAACCTATCTCCTCTTTGTTTCAATTCATTTGATATTAGATTTATTCCAGTTTTGAAAATTTTAATCCAATTTCTTTATGGTTTATCTTTTCTCACGGGCCCCCATATGGATTTATGGATTTGCATACTTGGTGAAAGATTTTTTTTTATTTCTCCCTTTTTTGACTGGGGATGGAAGTGAGGCTGGGGATACCACTAATGAAACATTAGTAGTGTGTACTTAACGTAATGGAATTCTATGTAGGAATTATAGGATCTTGAAAAATGAATTATTAGCCGATATATCAGTTTTAATTCATGGCTAACTAGAAACTCTTGAATTATTTTAATTACTTGGTCATCTTCTTTGAGACTTTTTTTTAAAATGCATCTATTCTTGTAGATAAGCTATTGATTACCTTTAGCTTGAAAATCAAATAATATTGTCACCTCTTTATCAATTAACAGAGTGTAGCAAACCCACTGCTATCTTTTTTTTCCCCCCTTTTTTCCTGCTTGCATTCTTTTATTAGCTACAAGTTTGCTTATATTTATTCACAGGCAGTGATGTTAGGAAATCAAAGGAAGGGGCGACAAAAGAAAATGAGGAGGATTTACAATGTATAAATCCTATGGTTTCCATATTTCTCCAGGCATCTTTTTATCATTATCTATTTTTTTAATTGTCTTGTCCTATTTTTTTGTTTGTTTTTTCTCTAAGCCTCAATCCAGGGCCGGTCCTAGGGTTCGAGAGGCCCAAGGCGAATACGGAATAAAACGAAAAATGAGGCCCCTTAACCAACCAAATAACATCTATTAAAACCAAAAAAAACAAAAACAAAAAAACCAAATAACATCGCAAAAATATAAAATATATCTAAAGTCATAATTCATAGATGTTCAACACAAAAATACGTTCAATAATCATTAAAATGATATATTTCTTGCCTTCTAACCTGCAAAATCATCAATCAAACCCGTAAAATCAAACTTTTAGTGTTTGTGTTTTCTTCTTTCTTTTATGATGTCCGGAATCTAATTTTCGAGGGGCCATGATATCGAGAAATCACCAATCTATAGCACGACAAAACATAAAATAAAATGCAACCATAATTATTAAAAGAAAAAAAAAAAAAAAAGCTTAATTTTGATTGTCAACGGATAAAAAAGAACAAGAGTAAATTAGAATAAAAATTTAATAAAATAGAGATTTAAGTTTTTAAGTGATCTTTTTTTTTTTTTTTCCTTCTCTTAGTTTAATATTTGGGCTCTTTCTTAAATTTAAAAAAATGGAAAAAAATAGTGCTGGTAGGGAATTGAACACGCGACCTTCAGAAAAAATACAAAGACTTCTCCCAGTCACACCACAAACATTTTACTTAAATATTTTGTACATAACAATATATATAATATGTTCACAAAAAGGGAGGCCCCTAAAAAGTTCGATTTTTCGGAGGCCCAAGGCGACGGCCTCTCTCGCCTATGCCTTGGGCCGGCCCTGCCTCAATCGAATGCTGAAACTTGAATAGAAGAGCTTGATGATAGTGAAAGACGAGTTTTATTGAGTGGTGTTGCAACCTTCCAAGGTTAGGCTTTGAGAGAGAATATGAATATATCACAAATGGGATTTTGAAATGAATTTATACGATAGTAACTCATTTTAGTCATTTTGTCGTTATACTCCATTATCTTCAATTTAGCATGTTCCAATAAATAGGATTTTAATTTATTTGTATTTATAACATGAAATGTTATTTTGATGCAGGTTATTTTTGTAAGATAGAGAATGCATTTTTTTACCTCTTCTATATATGTTCAATTCATATTGAAGACCTTTGAATTTTTTATTATATATATGCATGTTAATGACTTTCAATTTGATCTTGTATCTATTTGAAGAAGAATAACATGTTAGTTGCTATATCATTTGTTGCCATCATGACGTTCCATTTCACCTTATTATATAGTAATTATGTAGTACGTTGGTACAGTGTTTGATCTGGATCAGATAGTTGGTTTCGAACAATGCTACAAAATTAGTTTCATCTAGATTTCTAGCTAGCTATTGGAGATAATTTTAGATTTCATTTTCATTTGCATGAATACCTTTACTGAAATCATTTCTTAGAATATATGATTTGAGTTTTAACTTTGAATCTTTTGGTTTAATTTCTATTATTATAGGTCATATGGCTAGATGATATTGATTCTGATATCATAGCACATGAGGTAAGAAAGTTTCCCCGCCTTATTCATGTTCTGCAGATTTTCTGAGAACAACTTGTGCTTTTTGACATCACTGGAAATTCTATTTGCATTTCTTCTTGTTGAATTTGATACTTATTACTGTTGGGTTGTCATTGAACCTAGAATCTATGCATTTTTAGTTTTAGTTTTGTTCGTTACGCCCAAACATGGAAATTGGTAACTCGTCTCTTCTAATTACAGATAACTTGACAGGTGCACTGATGTTCCTATAATGTCTCGCATTTTTTGGGTAATCTTCGTCACGTCGGCCACAACTGACAACTGAAGTGATAAGATTTCAGTGAAGATGGGATGATTAAAGCGGTGATAAGTGCTAGCTTTGTTCGGTAGAGTCTATACCTTTTTAATCTGAAACTACATTTTTATACTTGGTATGTAGAATATTGAAACACTTTCAGCCTTAGATATGTAAACTAGGTTGAAATATTAATTACGGCTGTTCATCATACTTTATATCAGCTCCATTTATAATAAAATTTTGTTTTTGTATTTATTTTTGTTTACATCTTGTTGAAAAACATTATTTGATATTTTGCAGCAACAAGCAAAAGTTACAAAAGATCACGACATACTGTTTATGATAAGAAATTATTGGTAGAAATATAGCAATTGAAGTGCTATGAGTAAATTCCAAAATATAGCAAAAATAAAAATGCTATAAAATAATAAAACATAACGAGAATGAAATGCTATAAGATCATAGTATAATGGAAACAATAAACGCTATGAAATGATACATAACAGCATGGTTAAAACGCTATAAAAAGAATATATTTTATAGCATTTTGTAAACGCTATAAAATATTTTTATACGATAGCGGTTTAAAAACGCTATAGAAAAACTGGGGTCTATTATAGCTCCGGCAGACATAGCGTTTTGAGAAACGCTATGATAGCCTACGATAGCGGTTTTCACACGCTATGGATGATGTTTTATGGTGTAGTGACCCTCTTATGTTTGAGTAATTATAGTCACCCCTCAACTATGTATTATTTTATGAAAATACCCCTCCAGAAGTAAAATTAGGGATGATAAATCGGTAAAATCGAATCGAAATTTCGTTACGCCAACATTTCATACCGTTTACCTAATTAAATATAAGATTTCGTTCGATAAATAACCGAATTACATAATTTTTATGTAAAAATATTTAAAAGAAGGGGGTGATTGTAATTACCCAAATAAGATAATTTTTTTCATAATTTGGTCATACTTCAGGGATGGCCTTAATTACAATCAGCCCCTTCTTTTAAATATTTTTACATAAAAATTATTTAAATATTTAAATATTCAGGGATGGCCGTAATTACAATCACCCCTTCTTTTAAATATTTTTACATAATTTGGTCATACTCCAGGGATGGCCGTAATTTGCCCTTATCATTTATTCATGACACATAAATACGCGATATAAGTTTAGATGTTTCACCTGGTTATTTACATCGGGTGGATTTGAACCCTAGATTTGACTCAATAACTACTCACTAATATAAGCACACATACATATTTGTATGTGTGATTATTTGTAAATCTCCGATTTAAATCCACCCAATATATACAACCAGGCGTAACATCTAATTTCCCCATAATACACTCACGGTTGCGTGTGTAGATGAACAATGTAGACTTCTGTTTCTCTTTTCTTTCTTTTCTGTTTTATTTCCATAAATTATAAATAAAAAAGAAAAAAAAAATTGAATGATGATTTGTGTGACAATATCTATCAGGATTGGATAGTTTATCTGGTTTTTTGTTGTGTATCAAACAAGGGTGCAAATCGAACAAACTGGATCGGATTCGAATAATTTCAATTTTTTGTTTTTTCAAATGTTAAAAATCAACTATGACTCAGATACAACAAAAGTGGAAATTAAAATTCATTACGACTACTGAAATTTTTAGAATTAAAAAAAAAAAAATTACTTATACTTTTGCTGAAAATTGGTATAATTTTTTTTAAGGTATGGTTTAAATTTTATAAATATAATTTCCTCTTTAATTATATTTCTCTTGCCAATTTAATACACTATAACCCATAATGTATATTTTATTTTCATTATATGAATAAAATTTAAAATACATCATCTTATAATATGTAATAATATTAATATCACAATTTGTTTCTTATAAGAAATTAGAAATACTGGAATATGTTTCAAAAATCATGGGGTCGAGGACACATTGCTTATGAAGCTTTAGTACAACCAAATAATTTAATTATTATTTTTTGTATAAATTAAAATATGTATATAACAATTAGTAAAGACAAAAATGCAGAAAATTAAAAAACAGCCCTAATTTATTATTACTCACTTTAGGCCTCAAAAGAAATACACCTTGAATACAATTATTCAAAGGCTTATTATTTATTGCACAAACACATTAAAAAACGTAAGATACTAACTTATATTTGCTTAACAATTAATTCAGAGTCTCTTATACTAAATTATATTTTCGTTAATATTTTCGGCAGCCATGCTTATTCATATCGATCGACCATCTCGGTGAGTACCCGTGAACGAGTAATTAAGCTAGTGGTTGTTCCGGTGGTTGTGTTTGTGATGGTGGATCGGAGGAGCGGGGGCGTGATGCGGTGGAGGTGCAGAGCGGCAGCGGTGGTTCACCGTTGGTGGTTGTGGCGGCGGCCATCTTCTCCGGTGATTCCACGGCGGAGATTTTGGTTTCGGGAACTGTATTGGAGGGAGAGGGATGTGGCCGTGCACTGGAGATGGGGGCCACTTACTCCGTGGGCCCGGCCACTTTGGTTGCGGGAATCGCGGCCACTTTGGTTTCGGGATCCGAGGCCATATTTTTGGGATTGGGATCCGAGGCCATATTTTTGGGAATGGGAACCGCCGGGCTAGAGGCGGAAGTGATGGTGGTGACCTTGTCGGCACCGCCAACTGGGGCGGCGGCGGAACCGGAGGTGGTGATTTAGAGAGGTGTGTTAGTTTTAATTGGTTTTCATTAATAACAATATTAGGCAAAGAGTTTGCTTGAGATTGATAGGTGTTGTAAGCCATTGATGCAATTAGTAGCAAAATTGCATGGCAAAATGTGCCCATTTTAATGTGATTTTTAACCATAGTTGATTCAAAAAATGGGTACGTAATAACATATTTGCACTGCGTAAACATCTTTTATACCAACTATTTAGACAATGTAATTTACCTCTTGAAAGAAAATGTAGTTTTCATTAAAAAAGAATATTGCATTCAAGGACGTATATCAACTTAATTCTAAAAAGTTAAATGAGTTCAAACGTGGTAAAATAAAATAAAAAATGAGTTAATGAAATTGGGCTGGCTCCGAAGTTTGGAAAATTAATAATGGGTAATTTGCATATCCACCTCCTCAAACTACGATTCTTTTGCAACTACGCCTCAAACATTTAAAATATTTTGCACCCACATCCCCTAAAGGGCAATCACACCCTCAAATATTTAAAATTTTGGAATTCACCCCCTCAAATATTTAAAATTTTGGCATTCACTTCCCCTAACCTATAATAAATTTTCAACCCTACCTCTTCATATATTTTTTTCATCACCTTTTTTTGTGAAAAATATACGTTGTCTTCATATCAATAATAAACACATTTTTTTCTCTTGACGATAGCATTTCTAATTTGAATAAGAATTAAAAATAAAAATTTGATCGAAATCAAAATTATAAAATTTGGAGTGCAAATAATTTATAATGCTTTTTTTTTTTTTTTTTTTTTGTAATTTTGTAGAATAATTAAGCTCTTTAAAATGTTGGAATGTTTATGAAATTCCTAGTATTTATTTGAAACTTTTAATTTTCACATATAATTTTTTTCTTAACTTTTATTATTGAGATTAATTGTAAATTAAATATTTTCTACTAAAAAAAGAGTAATTGAAATAGATGGAGGGGGTGTGGTTGGCAAATTATTAGTATAGTTAATTAGAGGTAGTGGAAGCGAAAATTTTAAATGTTTATGATGTAGTTGTCAAATGGTCATAGTTCAGAGATGCCTAAAAAAAATGTTTAATTTAGGGTATGATTGCTAAATACTCATAACTCGGGGGAGGTGGATGCAAATTACCTACAAATAATTGTACGTTGTTGTACAGAACCTTTTGGCCTTGCTTGAGTAATGGCATGACTTGATAGAAAACATATAATAGGATTAATCAAATATTTAATCCATGATAAAAAATAAAAAAAATTGTATTTTAATCAAGATATAAAGGATATTTTCGTCTAGGGTTTCTTGAAGTTTGGTGCTACATAGGCCTGGTTGGGTTTCAAACTCATGACTGGATGGAGAAGACAATATATAATTATCTATGGTGCACGGACACGGATACGTGGACACGGCGATACGCGGATACGGACACGGTGATACGGCATTTTAAAAAAACTAGGATACGGACACGTGGGGGATACGCGTAAATATAAAAAATATAGGGGTATAATTATAAATAATAAAAATATAGGGGTACATTTATAAATTGTTAAAAATATGTATAAGTCGTCATTGCATAAGAGAACCACTCGCCCTTGTTGCTCGTGTTCTTGATCGCCGTCGCATGCTAGACTTTTGGAGTTTTGGGTGGACTCACAAAGAACACAGAGGAAATGTGTATTACCGAGAAAAGAAAATGCACATTTTTTTTTATTAGGGCTCTCTCTTACAACGTAAGAGAAGTGTCCCAACTTTTTTAAAATTGTGGACACTGCCCGACACGGGTGTCCTACTTTTAGCGAAATTACGACACGGCCCGACACGGGTGTCCGAGAAGTGTCCGAGAGTTTCCGAGTGTCCAGGTATCAGATACGGGGACTCTTCACCTTCTAAAAGTGTCCGTGCAGCATAGATAATTATATATTACAATATTCAGTTAATTAATATATGGATTGTTTTTTTTCAATTAATTAATTAAGTCCGCAATTAAATCTTTCAATTAATTAAGGCATAACAAAGTTCATTATATATATATAGTCGATTTATTGATAATCATATATTTCATATATCAGACTACATTATATTATCCTTGACAAGATGGTAGCAATTTCTTATTTATAATATCCATCTTGTCAACTAGTAGCAAATTAGCGGAGGTGGCGGCGATTTTCTAGTTACCCATGGCAACGGAGTCTTCGGCTTCGGCAACCACGAGTGGCGGGGCGGCGGTGGAGGCAGAGATCCGCCGTTGTGCACCGGCAGCGGAGGTGGCGGCGTAGAGGCGGAGCCGTGGTGCAACGGGGACGGTGGTGGTGATCTTCTCCACCATGGCCGCCACGGCACGTGGGGTCTCGGGAAATGGAAGCGGCCGCGTGGTGGAGGCGGTGGAGTTTCGGAGCCGCCGCCGCCGTGGTGGAGCGGTGTTGGTGGTGGCGGTGATCTTCTCCGTGGCCAGTGCCAGTTCGGCTTCGGGAACGGCCATCGGTGGCCGGGGGCCGGTTGCTCCCGGCCGTGATGACCGGCAAACGGCGGCGGGATTTCACCGCCAATGCCGCCAGCGGTTAAAGTGTTCGCCGGAGTAGCGTAGTCGGCCGTTGTTGCTCCGATGAGGAGCAAAAGCATTAGGTAAATTGAACCCATATTTTCTTTTTTGAAGTTTGGTAATTGTGTAATTAGAAGAGGTGAGTGATGCCTACTTTTATACTACATTTTTTGACCTTCATGAAAATTATTACCATGCACCGTTACAATTAATGTAATTTACCTTGTGGTAACTTTAGTATATGTAATTTACAGCGTAATAGGAAATTGCATTGAAGGGTAATTTATTAAGTAATATCATCTTAAATTTTTATTGTGTGCATTATAAAGAGTCTAAAAAATAGCTAGGTTCTCGAATTTAATTGAACTTAGATATTGAATGCTCATTGTGAATTTTACTTTTATTTAATTTGTATTTTAATGTGTCGAGAGAGAAATTTTTTAGGTGATATTTAGAATTATAGTGTAAATATTAAAAATATTAAAAAGTTGGACACTGGAATGTGGGGATATGTGCAAATATTAAAGATATTGCGTTACATCCATAATTTCTAAAAATAATTAGAGTGTTTAACTTATAATATGTATCCTCAATTAAATATTTTTATCTACAAATTATACATAAATTACAAGTTTCAGTTCGAAATTATCATTCCATAAATTACATTCGAGGCACATAAATTTATTTTAGTATGTAATTAACATCCAGAAATGTCCCCGAAATTTTTAAATATTTATGAAAATACCCCCAAAACATTTCCGACAGCTGGTGTCATAGTGTTTTGGTTTCAAATCCTAGCTGAAGCAATTACCGAGGGGGGGATTGCTAGCTTGGATTTTGCAGTAATTTTCCACGTGTGGAAGGCTCGGGTCTGAGCAGCCCACAATCGAAGGCTAGGGTTTGCGCATTTTCTACACCAATTAATTTTAGGACAATTGGTAGCGCGTAACGTCAGACGTACTTATCAAATATAAAATTTCATGTAGCGAAACAAATATTTAATAAATATAACAAATGAAAAGGAAAAGGATGTGAATTTCAATTATTTTTAAATAATATCATTTCCAATCAAACTCAAAATCAGATGTTTAATTTCTTTGTTTTCCAAAGTTCAATTTTTTTTATACTAAAAAAAACATTAACATAATATCCTATCACATCATCATTTTTTAAGTACATAACATAATCTTCAATCCTAAATTATCAGCCTACAAATTCATAGCTATCATATGTGCTAAAATTTTATTAATCCACCACCGGTTCGATCCATTCATATATATAATAAAACCGGTGGCAGGCGGTGGGTCCACATTGTACTTATTACTTCCGGGGCGGGGCGGGGCGGGGCGGCCCCACTTGTGCACACGGTGTGGATGGGGCGGTGGCTTCCCTCCAAGCGCATGACGTAAGCCCGCAGGCGGTGGCGGTAGCGGCTTCTTCTTCTTCACGGAAGAAAAAAATATTTCGGGACATATGGTTTCTTATGGCATCCCGATCGGTGGGGTGGCGGGCTTGTGGGCCCCAGCTTCAACTCCGGCACCTCCCTACGCTTTGTCGACTCCTCCGGCAGAAGAATAATCCGATCGGGACGGAAATGGACCGAGCGATGAATATGTTCATCTCTCCGATGAGTAGTATCAATAAAAATGTGGCCATGGTGGTAATTTCGGGTCGACCCATTTTTGTAAGGTTTCCACTTTAAGGAAATTGAAAAACCCGGCCCGGTGGGCCGGTTTTATAGTGTTACAAGTGATGTGTTTTTTTGGGAAAAGAATATTTATGTAGTTTTGCCTTTGATATGGATGGATTAATTTGATCAAATGGTTTTTTGTTAAGGGCTATTGTTTTCTATAATAAATGGAAAGGAAATGGGAGAGCGTTATTGTTTTATTTGAGATATAATTGTTGAATGATTATAAATTAGTAAATGCAGAGTGAAATTTGTTTACCTCGGAATATGGGGTCAAAAGTGGAATTGACGTAAAGTTGAGGGGCAAAAGATATACTAATTCTTTCCTATCTAAATTATAAATATCTCCATTAACTTTTAAAAATTGCTTTAAGGGCCTTTAACTCTGTGGATAATCAAGTTTTGAACTTGTACGGGTTCAGGCATAGGGGATTTGTCAGCCCCAATCAGTGGCGAGTCCAGGATCTAGTTACACGATGAGCTTAATTTTTCGAGGGTTCGGGGACAATGCCCCTCGAGAAAAAAAAAAAAGGACTTTTTTAACAAAACTATAATTGTTTTTGAAAATAGGAAAATAACCAGGTGAATATTAATTATTTTTTTTAGGTATTTTGGCATTTCATTTTTTGAATATTACTTTTGGGTCCCTTAAAGTTTTTGTAAATATGTGTTTTAAACTCTTAATTTTTTTGTTTCTTCTCCACAATCTTATATAAATGATACTTGTATACATCATATTTAATATAAAAATATTTAATAAAATGGTTAAAATTTGTATTATTTTATATAATATTTATGAATATTTACTTATTTTGGAATTTTTTGAGGCGATGCCATTAATCTCCAAAATATTTAAGTGCAATACATTAAGATTTTTTTGTCATGCTTAAAATATGATAAAACTATAATATATATGCTATTTTAATTAAAAAATTATCAATATAAACTTATTTTTGCTATGTCTTGTGAACCTAATTTTTTTTGGGGGCGCTGCCCTGAATCCTGAAATTTTAGTTGACCCCTCTATATTTTGATCCGGTTCCGCCCTGAACTAATGGTTTGGAGGTCGTCGATACTCCCACGGCCGTGCAACACGACGGGGCGGACGTGCTGGCAGTTCAACAACGGGACGGCCGTACGTCTGCGGCGGTGGCCGCTTCTTCCCCCAAGGCCATCGGCGCTGGCGCCGAGGCCCGTGGGTGATTAGCGGCCGGGATTCCACCATCTCCGGAGATGAAAGGCGGCTGCCAGCTGTGTTCTGAGAAACGGCAAAGCATGGTGGTACGAGGAAAACATTCCCACCAAGCAGAAGAAACGTTAGTAAAATTGTATTAATGGTCGGAGTTCTGTACCACCCCATAACTATGATATTGAAAATAAAAAACAATTCCTATATTTTATAGTAGTTTATTGATGATTTATTTGATTATTTTTTCTTTTTTGGTGTGGAAATTGTAATTAATATGGATAGTTTATCATTTAATTTTAGTCATATTAATTACTATTGTGTAATTAAAAATGTGGCTTAATCCCATTTTGCATATTTGAAACATAGTATTATGGTATTTTGCAATATAACAAAAATAATTAATAATACTTTGCAATCTTGAACACCAGAAATGATATATATATATATATATATA